TGTTCTTCAAACCAAGAGATATTACTGAAAAGTATTTATTGCATAGTTTCTGCATTGATAATTGTCATTTCGAGAATGTGGGAATGAGTCCAGTATTCAACGTGTTTAGACGTATTATAAGGTTAATATTACCACATTATTTGTACCCCTGTGTGGCATTGTTTTGTACATATATTACGCATGTTGATTTCCTTAGATACGGTATCTAGGAGGTCAGAACTGCGATAGGCTGAAGGGGAACTCAACACTCAAACCTATTGAGCTGTGAGCTATCTTTCACGACGATCAATACTAGCAACACTCTTCATTGTTGCATTTACTGCTCAGAGTACAACAATGAAAATACAGTTGAGAAACAATAAACTTGAGCGTGAATTGCGGTCGTTATGACAACAATATCGACAAAATCAACACCGTAGGACAAAATGTACATGGCTTGATGTTGCGTTGTACTGAATAAGCCTTTTCCTTTAGACAAGCAGAAAATATTCTGGGTGAAATAAACACCCACAACATCCAATTTCTTGATTTTATATGTCTTAAATACCCATATAAATCTGTTTTATACGATCACCGCGTGGATTAATGAGACATGTTGATACATACGAAAACACAAGGGTTGCATTTCTCGTGAGACAAGAAATTCAAACATTGATTCCTATGAAGAGATTTTTCACGTAAATCATGTATATACTTTTTATCAAATGTTTTTAAATGTATTGTTACCAATTCCATTTGAACATCTGAATGTCAGTCTATTATCATCATTTAGAAATGAATACCAAGACTTATTGCTACGTATGGGTTATTTATTCACCGTGAATACCTCCTCAAATCAAACGATTAAGACAAAATTGCTGTTAAACCACAGTTATCCAGGTACATCATTTTATACCTGATTTCAGTGCGTCACGACAAAACTACAGGTTTTCCGTCAAGCCTCGTGAGAAATCCCATTCACAGAAGTGAACGAGCAACCAGGCTGGCAAAGTGTAACTTCCCCTCGACTTCCCCATGAAAGCATATTATACTAAGCAGCAAAAGAAACGTCCGTCCGTCGCAGAAACGGATAGCTGTAAACTTATTTAATGTTTTGATTGTATATTTTTGACAACATCTCCAACTTTACCTGAGCAAAGACATTCCTTCCCAAACCCAGAATGGAACGCAGGAAATGGTCTCAAAAACGCAACTTGATCTCGGAGATGGCACGGTGTTCTCAATGTTTTTCATGCAACTCATGCTGTACGTGCTGTTCACAAGGACCAGCCCTATATAATGCGCTCACGACAGCTCAGAGGAACCAGGCTAGAAAGACTAGAAGCTGGCCACACTGAACAAGCCGTTGCCAATCACTTCCAGGTCAACGTTTGGACCATCTACAGGCTGCAGCAACGTTTCCGGACCACCAACACCACAAATACCCCCGTACGGGCAGACTAAGGGTGACCACAAGATGACAAGGCCGCCATATTGTGCGAGAGCATGTACAGAATCCCTTCATGCAGGCATCCGAAACAGAGAGCCTGACAATGGGAACACACGGAAGACCAATCAGTACTGATACAGTACGCCAACGTCTTAACAGCGGGAACCTCCATTGTTGTAGACCTTACCGTGGACCTATCCTCACCCCTCGTCATCGGCGTGATTGTCTACAGTTTGCCTTACAACACCAAAACTGGCGATACAGGCAATGGAGAACTGTTCTGTTCACAGATGAGAGTCGGTACTGCGTATCAACTGTTGATGGCAGAACAAGGATATGGCGACGACGTGGCCAGCGTTACACAGACCAATGTGTTATGGAAAGAGACTCATGGGGAGGTGCAAGCGTCATGGTATGGGATGGAATAGGCCTGAACCAGAGAGTGGGTCCTGTGGTGTTCCCGAGCCTTGGTCCAGGGAGACGAGGCGCCAAATTCATACCACATTTCGCACGTCACCGGAACATCATTTTCCAGCGTGATAACGACTGGGCCCATACTCCCAGAGCTACATGGGACTTCCTACAGCACAACGGTGTCAACATTATGAAGTGGCCAGCCCTTAGTCCTGATTTAAACCCAAATAAACATCTTTGGGATGAAATTCAGAGGAGACTGAATAATGTCATACCAAGGCCGAACACAGCCGATCTATTGCGCCAGGCCTTTCTCAGAGTGTGGTTCCAGGTGCCAATGGCCTTCATCAATCGATTGGTCCACTCCATGCATAGACGCTGTACTGCAGTTATTGCTACTCGTGGTGGTAACACTAGATACTGACGTCAAGAGTCTGAATGGATTGCAAACGTTCACGTAATGTCTCGAAATTGTGCTAGGTTATGCATTGTTGTGTCAAGATATTGCACACAAAATGTTTTTTATCCGCTTATCATGTCCATTTCTGTAATAATTTGATTACAGTGCCTATCTAATTTTGAAGTAGTATTGGCGTTTTTTTATTGCTGCTGAGTATATATATATATATACCGGATACATATTGATTGGTTATTGTTTATTTGTAAAGGATACATGTAGGCCATCGGCCCATGGTATATTGATCGTCCATGATCAATGGATACATAATACAGATATAAAACGAGACGTCATCGTTGTTATTTACATACGAGGAACCATGTGTAGGATTTTATGATCCATACAAAAGTTTAAAATAAAAATGAAAATATCGTCATGTCCCTGTTCCTTAACTCTGACTTCGTCGATGCAAATCTGCCCTTGGATTATCCATTTAAGTTTCCATTAAATATATGTTCTCATAGACAGTTTGAAAAGTTTGTACATACACCCAAAAAAACGTGATTTTGGGTGGAAACTTGGCCACATCCATTACTCACCTTCCGTTGCCAATTGTAGCTCTGAGTGACTCAAAGAAAGTCTTTCCTCGGAAATGGGACAAAAATAGTTCCAACTGCACATACAACACAATGAAGTATAACGTCGCACTTTCCGCCCGTGAATGACACCTTTCGTTTATTATTCATAGTCGTAGAAATTAAGAATCAACGCCAGCGGATCCAATAGCTGTCAGGCGTTCTAAACGTTTGCCCTATTGTCTGTCAAAATTGTATTTAGTGTAATAATATCAAGCAGCATAAATGAGTCTAAAATGTTCCATAAAGTTCAAGATATAAATCCCGTTAACGAGAGGATAAAAGATTGCGTTTTTTGTTTTCAAAATGCGATTGGACGTTTTCAGGTAATATGGTCTTAATGTTTGACAGAAAGAAGTCGTTCTCTGTTGGAAGACAATTCATATTCAAACAATTTTGTTACCTTTGTCACAGTAAGTTTATTTATTGTATTCAAAATATATATAATATTGTATACCTACATATTAAGACAGAAAATACAAATACAATGCAAATAAATAAAGATAGAAAATACGACAGAAACAATGTTTTCTATGGTAACAATGAAAACAATCATGTATATTTTAAAGTCTACATTGCCATAAAGCAACAATTCCAAATATATAATTATTATTTCATTAAATTTTCACTGTACATGCATATATGCTAAGGTGAATTCTTTGGCCACATGGGAATTAAATGAAAAGCTTTTATTATGATTAACCATATGCATGTGTGTGTCTGCAGTTCAGATGTGAGACATTTGGGCGTGTTTTAATAAAAGTCTAGGACGACGATAATTTTCTTTGTCGGAAACCCAGAGTGATAATGAGAACGTTGTATCAGCCCCAGAGTGCTTCATTGTGTAATATCAGACATGTGACTCATGGCGGTCATGCGATCAGTCAGGTTAAATTGACTGGTTACGCTGACCCTCTGAGGCTTAACGCGTTCAAAATAACCGCCGCTATTTCGACAAGTGGTGACAAAAGTATTACATTACCAACACTTGTGTAATAATCACATTTAGCAATCTAGATATCTGCTGAGCCTAGTAAAGGTAATAAATTTATGTGTTGTTTTTTTTCTATTCTTTCAAATAGTCTTTCAAGGGACATTGCCAAAGTTAGTTTTCCTTATATTAGGGGATAAAGGATACTTAATAAGGGGACTTTCACATTATATAGCACTTACTGCTGTAGATACAAACTATTTGAAAAGGTAGATAACATTTAAAACTTTATGATTTTCCATCAATACACTAACATATTAAAACATAAATATGTCAACATGTAAACGACAGGTATACCATTCCATAGCGTACATTCACTAAAAAAGAGTAATGTGGATGTCACTTTTTGAATACAGCTCTGACTAAACAAGGAACTGGTACTTGTTATACCATTGCCAGGACTGGTGGTCCATTAAGGTTGTGTTAATGTTTCTCGAAGCATCAAAATAAATCAGTATATTTTATGTGGATGTCTCTGTAGCAAGTTGATGTTCTCCAAGAATATGTCAATGAACAACGGATCTCTGAACACCAGATACAATGACTGTGAATAAGAATTTTCTGGTAACCGTATTTAAACAAATAAACATATGTTCTCAGTGAAAATGTATACCGAAATGCAGTTTCAGTGCTAAAGAATAAATATACAGCAATACAGCTACAAACTTTCATTTGACAAGATTATTATGTGCCCTTGGAACTATAGGCTAAATGTTTGGTTGGTGATGTTATATATTGTATATTGTGCGTTTTGCAAAGTAACTGAGGAGGTCACTTTTCAAGTTTTATCATTACAACCAAGCACTTCCTATATGTGGCAAAATCGAGTGAGTGCTTGAAATGAATTCATGGAAGACCAACAACAGAAGAGGTTAAATATCAAGAGAGTTGATGTTAATGGAGATAAAGCCGGGATAAAATATTGTTAACATTGAACAAAACTGGCTAACTGCAGTCGATTTTGTCATTGAAAATTATTAAATACCAGAGAATAACCACTTATGTTTTCTTCAAATAGAAATCCACGTTTTGTAATCAAAAGTATACCCATATCATCTGTCAAGTATTGTTACTTTTGACGGCCACACCGGTATTCCGGGAACAAGTAATGTGTATGGTGTCCCTCTAGCTCACCGCAAAGCTACATTTAGACTGAGTTTTAATCGATGCTGAACTTCGGTTTTCAACAAACTTACAGTTTAGGTCTCACCGTTGAAGTTGAGATCTCAACTGCATTAAGGATATGCTGAAAGGCACACTGGGTTGTGATATATCTTCCTTTTCTGACATCCACATTCTTGACACATCTGATACTGACAGAATATAGTTTGGATTACTTTCAACTGTGATGAATTATGATCCATCATAGCTTTTTAATTATGTTAAAAACATCATATCAGCTAAACTTTACTAGAAGCCTACCGAGGTTTTCACGAGGTTGGAGAGTTGCGATGGTGTTGTGGCGATAAATATAGATTCCACCCAGCGTCTCTACTATGCGGGTATTGCCTGTTGGGACAGTGCGTTTACTGTGTTACACAAAGGAAGTGCAACAATAACCTACAACAACATCTGTAATGGCTGAGGCTGCTTAGATCATTGAGAATCGCCGGTAAGTGGTAATCATTGCTGTATTTACGAGGGTAGAACTGATGAAATATTACCTTTCGATGTGAAGTATGTAGTTACTGTTACATTGCATGTAGCAATTATTGATAATGAAACGAAATTCATGTAATGGCTACTTTGTTGGCTTTGGATATTTGATATTGTCGTCTGCAAGATTTGATACTAGATTGCGCCAAGGCTATGAAATAGCATCCATGCACATTATGATGAAACAACGTTGTTGTAGTTGATTTTTCGAGTTGGTTACAGTGGCCACCATTCTGAGACGTTGCTTTACCAGTATGCGCACCTAAAACTGGAGCAATTACAAGAAATCTGTTTGATTTCATTTTGAGACCGATGAATTGCTCTGCTGACCTACAAATCTAGGAATTATGCTCGAAGGCCAGGGTTTTGGACGGTCACGCCAAAACCACCACGGAGCAACTCTGGTGATTTGTCTCATATATTTTCGAGGGAACCACTTATTGGTAAGATCAGAGCAGCTGTGCGTCAATTGCACGTGTGAAATTGAATTCCCTACCGCGCTTATTGATTACCCTGGCTGTTCACTGCACCAACAGGGTCTTACTCACGCAGTACAAAATAGCGAAAAGTAACAACAAAATAATGATCATTTGTTAAACTTAGCTTTTGTCCAAAATTAGCCCAAGAGACAAATCATCAAGAGTTGGTCTGTCGATTTCATGTGACTGCAAAATTTGGGTTTGCTGCAATGGTTAGATTTTTACGTTAGTGAGCAATTCATGGAATCTCAAATGAAATCAAACAAACCTATAATGATACATGTATGCGAAATGAATATATATAATTGTTGCCGACAGAAGCCATCATATATCAAAGGCGCATTCGCTATTAAATAATGCCAGCCTATGTGGCGTAATTGTGCGTCCTCCATACTAAAGGGTAGATCCACAGAATCATTGTTGGAATAAAACACAGCATTTTCTAGGCCACTTCACAATCTATCTGTCCTTAGTAATATGACTCAACTTGGTCAATGGGGCACTCACATACCTGTAATGCATTCTCGTAGATAGCACCTCCATGCTTACACTTGTATATTTGCATGCTTGTGCAGCGGTACACAATGATTATCTTGCTTTACGATGCAGTGGTAATATTTCCTTTCTATCAAGTTAAACATTGCTTTTGCATAATCGTTTCGTGTTGCAAAGTATAAAGATGTTAAATGGTATATCAAATAACCAAGAAGCCTTCGATTCGGGAAGAATTATCGTTCCTTTCTCCTGTGACTAATTTTTGGACCCGTTATTTGCAGCTGACTGCGAGGTTTCGGCGTGGGTACCCCACAACACTGCGTTACTCAAAGAATATTGTTTTGTTGGATGAAGATTACAATTTCTGGAGGCCGCGACAAAGATGTGCCTGTAGGGGGTTATATTCTATTTCGTGTTGAGATACACACCACCTGGGGGCTTACGGTTCTGTTCTGAGTCTATTTCTATTCCTTGTATGCATACATACAGATTCACCTCGTTTATATGCTGATGACACTGACATGGTGCAACTAACCACTGGCATCAGGGTCTATCTATGGCCATATTGACGGTATATGCTTTACTCTGCCTGTATAATTATATTCCTTTACACTAAACGCCAAAGAAACGTTACCCTCCTTCCTTTATGACGGAGGTACCTATCTTCAGCTGGCGTTGTGATGCGTGGACGTCCACTTCTTGGTCTGTCTACGGTGATCCCAGTCTGTCTGAAGCCCTGAATAAGTCTTATAACCGTGATACGGTGGCATCCGTGGGCGTTGGCAACAGCATTGTATGTCGACCCCATCTGCACCATCCCAATGGCTCTTTCTCTCCCTTCAGCTGTTAATCGTGGCATATTTCTCGTACTTGTGTATCAGATCATGTCTTCTAGGCTCTCTTTATACCCTATAGAATCATTCTGCATGTGAAATGGATGTAAATACTGTTTGAATATTGCTGCGTTTTGGCGATTGATATTGCTATGTAAAAATGGAAATGGAAAAATGTTACTTTGGTAAGCAAAAATGTTAACAAAGATAATTGTAGATGTTCCTAAACATTTTTCACAATATCAAAGACACGTTTTACTTGTTTTCACTAATGCAAATCAGCAGAAAATGTTTTAAAAGACTGAAATCATAGGAATGATTATTTTACAATTTTACACACTCTACAACAGTTGTTTCTTGTTTTAATAGTTGAAAAATGGTGACTTTAAATGGTTTATCATTGTCCCAAAGCAGAATTTTATTTCAACCTTTCTTTGGACATCAAAATCACTATTATTGGTTTATTTCGGCATGGACGAATATAGGACAATTGCTCTTCTGAAAAAAGATGCATTTCACCCAAATATGAATGCATTTGAGAATTCTGTTTTCGTGATTTGCATAAAGCTGTGTTGTTAAGCTTTCTTGTAAATTTCTTTGTAAACTAAAACCTTCTAAAATATCTTTGATAGTTTTTCAGTAATTCATAAAGGTAGGAGGGTAACGTTTCTTTTGGCGTCTAGTGTCCGTAAAATGTGTGCACCAACCTTCGCTCATATTCACCCAATGGGAATCCCTTGTGTTACGACGTAAATTGTAATAAAGGCAGGTGTAATAAAATTGACGTAGGTGTAATGCGCAAGGTGTAATAAACATTTTACGTAAAATTGTAATAATTTTTCGTTGCGGTGAGATGTAATAAATATTTACGTAGGGTGTAATAGCAGTTTTAATCACTCGTAAATGCGCGGGTGTTTGTTTTCGTTGCATTTCATACGTCAAACTCAAGCTTGTTGGGGCGATAGCACAAGGAAAGAAATGATGGATTTTGTTCAAACTTTGTACCAAGGTATATTGGCGTGATTCACCGACACAAATTGAGAATGCCTGGAGTGACAGCGGGAGATAATTTTCCAAGGTCACAGGTCCTAAAAATCTGAGGGTTTGCCAATATAAAGATTGTTAGCGAAACCAAGAAAATTGACAAATGTTGGCTAAATGACAGAAATGATATTCGTCCTGATATATAATCGATATAAAATCTCTGACTGTCCTCTGTATCATGTCTTTTCGCAAATATCTTTTTGGGGTTTTGATGTGTATAAATATGAAATTAGGTGGGGTGGGGTGGGTTTCTAACGGGTATATCAAAATCAAATCAAATTAAACATTTGTATAGTAGCTACATATCAGAGTCCTGCTCATGTGCTTAGTCGAGATGCTCGTTTGAAGAGGATGGTTTTGCGGCAAGATCAAAACTGTTGATATTTTCCGATTTTCTGACATTTCAGGTAATCAGTTCAGGTACAGCACCGGTCTGCTAAATGATCTGTCTCCGTATGTTGTGGTTCGGACAAATAGCCAAGCTGACTAGCAATGAAGCCCATCACAAATTAAACTGGAAACAAAATATGCAAAACATTTTTTGTATGTTTGAGATTGGTGAGGTCGGCTAGAATCAAACTTAGATGTGAGCTGCACAAAAGCAGTTTTCAAAGCTACAATCAGCAGGCAATACGTGGCAAA